TCCATGCACATTTGCTCCGCCGCGCTTTCTTTTGTTTGTTTTCTTCGCCCAGCCACTCTAGCGTTTGTATCCTTTTTCGTCTTCCCCATTTTGCCAGATATGCTTCAAGAAAAACCGAGCTACAGAAAAATTATCTCTCCGCCTTGAGCTTATTGCGAAACACAAGGGTGTTTTGGAGATTCGTGCGTAAATTTCACCGCGAGAAGAAACTTTCCAAACGTCGATTGGCTCAGTGATCTGAGAACCCAGTTGTTTGTTTGCGAAGCAAGAGATTTTTTATTAGCGCTGTTTTCTCGAATAAATTTTTTCGCTTGAAGCAGGCACTTAAAAGAGTTACAACTCAAAGGGAATTTCTTCGATTTCCCTCAAATTTGGACAGTAGCTAGATTAACATATAGTAAACAAAAACATGTCTGCGAATTGTTTATTTCGAAATATTTTTGCTACGAGAGCGATTTTTGTACGATCACTTCACATTTTTTAAATCCTATTTCGAAAATGTTCTGTAAGTTTTTACTACAATTGAATATGGCAAAACGCAGACACGCTTTTTTAGTGCTTTTTGTCCTTAAACCGGGGAAAAAATAAATTGGCGAAAAACAAAATTCGCTTTGTCTTGTAGCTTCCAAAAGGATTAGGGCGCTCGCATTTAGTGGTCCTGAAAAAATCGGCAATTCATTTCATTTCAAAATTCTCGGTATAGTTTGATAGCCAGCTCTATAAGCTTGAATTTGATATAGGAGTCTAGGTATCTACCGCTTAAACCGGACGCGCTAGATCGCTTGGACGCGAGACACCCCTGAAGGTATACGGTAACCTTAACTGATGGACAAAGGCATGTGTCACTTTGATCCACAACGTCACTTGGGTTAGCATCGCAAGCAAGTGAATATATAAAATATCATGTAATTATTTGACAAAAATACATGAAAAATATACAACATGAAATGTCGTCGCTGTTGTGATCGCAAGTTTGGCGATGGCGATAAAATAGCCCGGGAAAAAATGTGGCTTAAACGGGATTCGAACCCATTTCATCTGCGATATCGGCGCAGTGTTCTATCAACTCAGAAATCAAGCCAACAGGGAGCTGATTAATTTATGAGAGCGCAGTGTACCCATGGATGGTGAAGACAGGAAAGTGAATATCATACAATGGATAATTAGCATGATATGGTAATTACACAACTTTATTGCAGGTCTGAATTTAATCTTGCGGATATTAAAGACAGATATCTACAGCATAAAGTTCAACTCAAACTGCATTTGGCCAATGCCGCCAAAGAACAGGTATTTTGTTGGTTTAATTTATAGATGAAGTTTACCGGAATTTTTTTTTTTTTGGCCATCATTGCACGATGCATGTCGGCACCTTACCTGTACGCCCTAAAAGTATTGCACTTGCATAATAAGTTATCTCTGATTTCTGTATGATTCTCTTTTACATCGCGTGGCAACGGTTTCTTTTCTTTTCTTTTTGTGCCAAGAGATGAAAAGAAGAAAACACCGTTCAGTCTCCTCCAAAAAACGCTTAAAATATATCTCGTCTTGTTTTGCAGGCAAACTACCCAGTGGCCAACAAATATCTTAAAGAAGCCCTTATTATGATACGCCAGGTACTGTTAGTATGTTTCTCTTTCATTTGCAATAATGCCGCCAGAAAAAAAAGTTGGAAATGGATTTACATGTTTGTGACACTTAGTAGCTCTCATATCCAGTTCTGTGGAAAAAGCGTGTCCAAAATTGCATAAAAGTGTACGCAACAATGCCGAGAGTAGTCTGCGATTTGTATAATGATAGTTTGATATCAGTATTACCAGGATCCACAATGCCTCCACGGCACAGCGAGGTCATGGAAAGACGGACAATATACAACGTTGCTTATAGATGACGTGACGAAAACCAAAACGATTTTACTTGACCTCGGCTGTTCCACGTAGTTTCAAGTTGTTGGAATTTACTTTCATGTTGTAGCTTTTTCACATGCTCCTTTGTAGAGATGTCTACATTCATCAGTAGTCAGTCTATCTTTCTCACTGCCATTTTATTTTAGGAGGATGACAACTTGCAGATCAGTTGGTCACACACATATGCCAAAGTACATCACAGAAAAACCAAAACATTAACAGCTCTCGAAACTGTGGACACAGCTCTTTTGGTTGCAAAACAGTTAGGTAAGAATCATATTGGTCCTAAACTAAACGTTGTCTTGCGTAACCTCGTGTGAAACGAAGAACAGAAAGTTAAAGAACTTTTCTGTGACTGCTTCCCAGGAATGGAATGTGTTACCTCTTCAGATGAGAAAAGCAGAGTAACTTAGTACTTTTAAAAACTCTCTTTGGAAAATGATTTTTAAAGATCAGCAGTCTCTTAATCATTTTACTTTATAATTATCTTATCGTGTGTTTACATTTACATGTAAATATGCGAATCATAATAATAAAAGTTGTTGTTGTTGATTTATGTCATAGTTTTAGAGATTTTTAGTGACTTTTAACCGTGCAAATCTTAATTCTAGTATATTTATTATCCTGTATGAGGGCCACTATAGTTAATTAGTATGCACATACTACAATCGTGGACAAAAGTCCTTGGGACACTTATGTAATGTAACGGATTATCTGTGTTTTAGAACTGAAGTATGAAGAAAACGCTGCTATATCCTTTATAAACGGGTTGCTGTCCCCCCTCCCCACCCAACACAATGTTGAAAATCAGTTGAAATTGCACGTACTAGTTGTCAACATTGTATGGGGGGTGTGGGGCGAGGTTCGGCAGGTGAAGTTGTATTCGCGTCTGGCGTGTACGCAAAAGCGCCAAAAGTGCAAATTTGTCCCAAGACTTTTGTCCATGATTGTACTTTGTGTTACCCTCGTTAAATAAGGACTTTACTTACTTACCGTAAATCCTCGAATTAGCGCCCGGGGCGCTTATTTCAAATTTAGGAGAAGAAGGGGGGCTCTTATTCGAGGGAGGGGGGAGCGCTTATTGAATTTTTTGCAAATCGTGGCCCGACATGGTCATTTTTTAATACATCATCTGCGCGTAACCACCAACATAAGCTGTTTGTTGAGATAAAAAGCTGATCCTAAAGTTTAAATCGCGGCACCGTTAGTACTTAACGTGTTCAACGTGTTCACTTAACGTGTTCACAAACTGAAACAATGTACAAATCTAATACTACATGACGAAAACTATACATCCTTTGTTGTCTCACTAGTAGGGGAGGGGGGGCGCTTATTTTAAATTTTGGCCGATA